TTTTTTTTTTTTGGTTATAGTTGTCATTTCTGTTTGGCAGGCCCAGGCTGGATTCAAACTTGCTAGTTCTGGTGTATGTGGCTGGAGCCTTGCCTCAGCTTTTCTATTTTTAGTAGAGACAGGGTCTTGCTTTTTGCTCAAGCTGGTCTCTAATGCCTGAGCTCACGCAATCCACCTTTGCTCAGGCTGGTCTCTAATGCCTGAGCTCACCCACCTCAGCCTCCCAGAGTGCTAGATTACAGGCATGAACACAGTGCCCAGCCTTCTATTTAAATATTAAACGCAAAAGCAAAGAGAAAAATAAGTATTCCAATAAGAGCAACATAAAAAGAAAAGCCAAAGACTGGCCTATTTCTGGTATGACATTTTATAAGTCATTATCATCACAATAATTGCAGTTAGTATTTACTTAGTGTTTGGTGCCAAGCACTGTTCTATTTTCTTTATACATATTTAATTCTGAAAATTAACGAGCTATTTTAACTGGCTTGCAGTCAATGTAAAATAACTATTCTTTATGAAAGAATTGGTGCTAAATGTTCGCGTACTTTTGAAAGTTACAGCAACGTTAACCTACAAACTTTTCTAAAACGGTGAGACCAAAACTGTGACAAATACATTATGTTTAATGTTGAGATCTAGATTACATTTAACATTACAGAACATAAAAGTTCAAACTGCCAACACGATGGCACGATGGCATGTAATTACATTTGATTTGTACCATTTTTTTGTTGTTGTTTTGTTTTAGAGACGGAGTCTCACTTTATCGCCCTTGGTAGAGTCCCGTGGTGTCACAGCTCACAGTAACCTCCAACTCCTGGGCTTAGGCGATTCTGTTGCCTCAGCCTCCCGGGTAGCTGGGACTGTAGGCTCAATGTTTTCTTTTTAAATTACATACTCTGCCATTACTATTCATACACCCGCATCAAAACATTAAAAAAAAAATCACAGGGCGTGAGAAAGAGGGGAGAGGAATGTCTATTCTTGGCAAAGAATAAGGATACTAAAAGAGGAGAAAAGGAAAAATTAAGTCGATGGAATATTTTCGAACCGTCTATCCAACTTCCCAACAGGGTTTTTTTTTTTTTGAAAAATGTAATCTCACTCTGTCACCCTGAGTAGTAAGCCATGGCGTCATCATAGCACACAGCAATCTCAGTGTCTTGGGCTCAAGCAATCCTCTTATCTCAGCCTCCCAAGTAGCTGGGACCACAGGCGCCCGCCACAACGCCCGGCTATTTTTTGGTTGCAGCCGTCATTGTTGTTTGGCGGGTCCGGGCTGGGGATTCGAACCCGCCACCTTAGGTGTACGTGGCTGGCGCCTTAGCCGGTTGAGCTATAGGCGCCGAGCCCCCAACAGGGTTTTTACCAGTTCTCTGCAACACCCCTAACCCCTCCGCAACCGAATGTTCAATGACTACAAAGTATCAGTAAAGCCGTTGGCACAAAGCCTGTCATTCCGCGCCTCCCAATACGCTATCTTCTCCTCTTCTCCAGACCTCGCCAGCGACAGGAATAAGAGCCAACGCAAACTTACAGGTATAACACACGCAACTGATTTCTGGAAGGAGGCCAACCGTGCCCCGGTGGGCGAACGCTCCGCCCCGAGGCCGCGGCTGCCTTCGGCCGCAGCGCAGTCTCTCCCCGGCCCCGCCGCACGCACGCCTTACCCGAGCGCCGCGCCGGCTCCCCGCGCGCCCACGGTCTGCAGCGCGAGGGCCCGAGGGTGCATGGCCCACCCGAGCGACTGCCGCACGGTCCGCCCGAGCAAGTGCCCCGGAAGCGGCGCGCCGGAAGTGCGTACCCAGGGCGCGAGGTCTTCCTACGCTTCCAGGACTCGTCCCGTGCTGTCCTCTCGCGTGTTAGCCAGTCGAACCGCAGCAGCGCCGCTCCTTCGGAAGGCGGCCACCCCGTGTCCTTCGCCTGCCGCCGCTGCTGGGGCTGGCGGGCGGGTATTTAGGGTCCCCGCCCACCTGGGTCACAGTTAGGCCCGGGACAGGCCCGCTACGTGGTTGCTTCCCTAACGCCTCTGGGGCGGGGTTGGGAGCGCAGGGACGCCCCACCCACCCCACCCCCCGCAGGCGGAATCCGAGACGGTTAGAGCCTCCGGACTAACCACTGGGAGCACCGGATCTCAACCCCACCAATACATCCCTTGAGTACTCCCACATTCTTGTGGTTCTTTCCCTTTCCTAAGGCTTAAGAGAGGCCTGCTCACAGGGACATCTTGCCAAGTTAAGCTTTTGAAAAAGTTAGGTTTATTAAAGTATAATTTACATAAAGTACAAGTTGCATGTTCTGACATTTGGATGCAGTAAGAATCATCGGGTCTAGATAAAATATTTCCATCGCCCCCAAAAGTTCCATCAGGTCCCTTAAAGCTAAGTTTCCTTTCCCACTTGTAGGCACATTGTAGGTAATAAACACTTCGTGGATACAGTGAGTTATATAACACCCCATAACTAGAACTGTCCAAGTAATACAACAAAAAAAAAAAAACCAGTCATTTTACTTATAAAACAAAGTACACCAGAAAAAGATGATAAAGTAATTCTCAACATAGGGCATGCCAGTGACTTTGTAGTAGTTACTGGGAATAAGTCTTTCTTCACAACTACAGGACCTTCTCATTCTCTTGGTTAGATCCTCGCTCCATGGTCCATGGAATTCCAGATACCGTCATGTAAGTGACTGAGAAGTCCCAAGAGTCTCCTACTAGAGAAATTTCTGCACATCCATTCTCCTTGAGCCCTGTTTACAGATCTACCGAAACTTGCAAGACTCCTATGAAAACTTCCTTGGCTAAAAAGAAACACTGCCCTATAACAATGCTAGTCCTAAAAAGCCAACATAACTTTGAGTACATTAAGTTTTTGAAAAGTATTAATGTTTGCTAACTAAAAGGACAAAATGGTGAAATATGTAAGATTTACCCTATCCCTATTCATTACTTAAGCTCAAATTAGAATAACACAATAAGTTTGAAAAATCAATCTCTCAAGGTATCTGCTAAATACTTTTTATTGCTATCTCCACCTGGCAGCTCTAGACTGAAAAACACATTCTTGTGCAAGGATAGCTATAGCTGAGAATTTAATAAGCTACCTATAAAAGTCATGGTCCAAATGAAGGCACTGCCCTGCAACATTTGAAATTTAGATAATTTTATTTAAATTGAAAAACCATTCTTAAAGCTCCATGTAGAGTCAAGACTTTTGTATTGTAAAAATCACAAAAAGTATTTGTAAGTAAGGCAAAATATTTCTAGGTTAATAAGACCAGACCAGACTGACTTTGGACTTTTAAACAAATTGTAGAGAATGGAGGGGAGAAAAAAGGGTTATTTACAGAAAATATCTACATATGTACTTAGAAGTACAAATTTGGTTGCAGAAAAGACCTTAGTACATGCTGGCATCTCAAGCAATTCTCAAAGAGCTTAGTTTTATTTTTTCTTTCATTTTGAGAATGCCTAAGATCCTTCTTCATCCTCAATTTTCGGAGCCAAGTAGTACTTCAAATGTCCCATATCAGCGATTTTGTACTCTACAACTGAAAGAAAAAAGGAAGATAGTTAATTACTGAGGAGTAGCACATGTACTACCTACAAAATGATATTTAAATTTATAATCTTACCAAGAGGTACATCTGCGGACATACTGAGTGTTACAGTAGAAGAGAGTGGAGTGGCTTTTGTGAAGAAGTTCAGGTACCTCAGTGCAAAAGTTAATTGAACTGGCTCATTCATCTCTATGGTAACCTACAAAGGAAAGCAAAGATTCATCACACTGAAAAAAACATCAAGAAAGTTACAGTCCATTAGTTCATAATATATACTAAAAAAAAGCCTTTACTGGTCATTTTGGAGAGTGCTACAAAATTTATTAAGTGAGAAGATGAAACATGAATGTATTTCAACTCTGCAAACCCTAATGACTTATGAAATCTAGATAATGTCTATGATGGCTGCAAAAAACACCCAGACACAGAGGTACACACGACCACTTTTAAAGTATTCTTGCTGTCACTCTTAAAACAAACATCCTTAGTATCATTAATCCTCTAGAGGTGTAGCTACCAGTTATAGGAAACATATAGGATGTGCTGACACACAGGGATATAATCAGTAAAATCCAGACTTAAGGGATATAGCAACCAATTCCAATGCCTGGACTTCATTAAAATCTTGACTCAAACTATCTGAAATAAGTAGAAAAAGGAGAGGAGGGGAGGGGAAAGGATGGGTGGAGGGAGAGTAATTGGTAGGCCCACACCTATGGTGCATTTTACAAGGGTACATGTGAAATTTACTAGGTGTAGAATATGAATGTCTAAACACAGTAACTAAGAAAAGCCATAAAGGCTATGTTAACCAGTTTGATGCAAACATTTCAAATTGTATATAAAACCAGCATTGTACCCCATGATTGCATTAATGTACACAGCTAGGACTTAAATAAAAAAAAAAAACAAAACTGAAAAATTCCTTATAATCAAATAATTTTCTCAGATATAGTAATGTTTATATTTCAGATATTAAAATATTTATGGCTTGGCGCCTGTGGTTCAAGTGGCTAAGGCGCCAGCCACATACACCTAAGGTGGCAGGTTCAAATTCAGCCCGGGCCTGACAAACAACAATGATGGCTGCAACCAAAAAAATAGCCGGGCGTTGTGGCGGGTCCCTGTGGTTCCAGCTACTTCGGAGGTGGAGGCAGGAGACTGGCTTCAGCCCAGGAGTTGGAGGTTGCTGTGAGCTGTGATGCTATAGCACTCTACCTAGAGTGCGACAGCTTGAGGCTCTGTCTCCAAAAAAAAAAAAAAAAAAAATTTATGGATGAAATAATGAGATTTGAAAAAAAAAAAAAACAAGTTTGCAGGGCAGTGGAAATGTGATTCAGGAGATAAAGATAAGAATTAGTCTGTTGGCTGTTATCAAATCTTCAAAAAAAAAAAAAAAACCCTTCATAGGAGATGCCTGTGGCTCAAGGGAGTAGGGTGCTGGCCCCATATGCTGGAGGTGGTAGGTTCAAACCCAGCCCCAGCCAAAAACTACAAAAAACCCCCAAAACTTTATATAAACTGAGTTTTACCTTCATTTGAACTGAGAGCTGACAACTCATTTAAAGGATGAGAAAATAATATCTAATATTTATCATAAGCCATTTATGATATGCCAGACAGAGCTGGGCAAGGTGGCTCATGCCTGTAGTACTAGTACTCTGGGAGGCTGAGGCAGGTGGACTGTTTGAGATCAGATTGTTCAAGACCAGCCTGAGCAAGAGCTGAAAGCCTATCACTATTGAAAAAAAAAAAAATTAGCTGGGTGATATGGTGGGCACCTGTAGTCCCAGCTACTCAGGAGTCTAAGGTAGCTACCATGTTTACCTGAAAATAAGATCTACCCAAAAAATAAGCCCAGCAGGTTTTCCATGCATGTGTTAAATATAAGCCCAACCCCAATAATAAGACCTAGTGATGGGCATGGCTATGTAATGTATCTGTATAGCTACGCCCTGCATTTCGGTGCAGAGCAATAAGGAAGACTGAATACCCCCTGAAAATAAGCCCTAGTGTGTCTTCTTGAGAAAAAATAAACATAAGACATTGTCTTATTTTCGGGTAAACAAGGTATAACCTAGCTAAAGCCATGGCACCTTAGCCTAAACTACAGAGTGAGTCTATGTCTCAAAATAAAAGGCTGTACATTATAATCCTATGAGGTTAGGACCTTTAATCATCCTTAATTTACAAAGAGTTTAATTGGTACTCAGGATAGCAAGTTTTTTTTTACTGTAATTACCAAATATTTGATGCATATTAACGTATAAATACTCTAAGGATATAAAAAAAACACTTGACTGCAGGAAAACCTTGACTTTAGGATATTTAGGAATTACAGTTCTTTATCATTTCATTAAAGGAGGGCAAAGTACCCGTTCAAGTAGTGGAAAAAATTTAGGTATTTACATGCTCATCAGTATTTAACATATAGTCCAATTCTTTCCAAGTTGCATGGAGTCTTCTTCCTAGCCTTAGGGAGGAGACTCTTCTGTTTAATTCTTGATTCCTATAGCCTGTGACTTTGCTTAAATTGTCACTTAGCTTTGCTCAACCTCCTTCTCCACTTCCACAATACAAAAAGTTAATGTAAGGATTACATAAGAGCTGATTAATAGCTAGACTTTTATCCCTAACCATAGCCTTGTATTGAGTTGCTGTCCTATGCTCAATTATTTGGTAAAAGTAGAGTAAATAGCTCCAGAAAACTAAAGATGGAATGCCTATCATCCTAATCCTATCCAAGGGCATGTCTGAGCTTGTTTCAGAAACCCACTGTGTTTTGTGGTTTGTGGAAGAGCTGAATTTTTACTCCCTTCTCACAGATATAATTCTAAATTAGATGGCAGTTAACATTTGCAGATTTCAATCTTTCAATTTTCACAAATTACTTGGGATATAATTTTGCCCATTTTTAAATTTCTGGTAATTAACATGTAATGTTAAGCAGTATTACAATTCTCTTCAAAGTACTGCATTTTCTTTTCTCTTCGAGACAGAATTTCAAGCTGTCACCCTGGGAAGAGTGCTGTGGCATCACCATAGCTTACAGCAACCTTCAACTCTTGGGCTCAAGCTACCCTCTTGCCTTAGTTTTTTCTATATTTTTAGTAGAGACAGTGGTTTTGATTTTTTTTTGGGGGGGGGGCAGGGGTTGTCTTGATTTTTGCTCAGGCTGGTCTTAAACTCATGAGCTCAAGCAATCCACCCACCTTGGCCTCCTGGAGTGCTAGGATTACAGGCGGGAGCCACTGCCCTGGCAAAAGACTACATTTTCTATGTACTTAAAACCTACTTACAGCTTCCTCCTCTTTATCTACATTACTTGTCTGTGACAACTTAATGTTTCCATTCCCAAGTTCTCCACTTGCAGAAAATTTCACTCCATCTTTTGCACAGGAAATTACAACGGCATCTCCAATGTGACTGAGATCTCGGCATATACGTGCAAATTCACCAGAAGGCATCTTTACTACACAGCTGTATTCTTGTTCCTATGAAACAAACAAAATTTTAGAGGTTAATTTGTAGAAATATAAAGATCTGGCACCTTCACTTTCTTTTTTTTGAGACAAAACCTCAAGCTGTTGCCCT